GGTGGGCCCGGGGTGTGGGTCGGTGGTGGGCCCGGGGAGGGAGAGCGGCGGACCGTAATCAGAGGCCTGACGCCGGAAAGGGCTCCCTGCCCGTGTCTGTCTCCCTTGTGGCTCCACCATGCCGAGAGACCGCATGGCCACGTCCATGATCCAGAAGATCGCTCGCCAGGCCCGCACCACCTTCAAGCTGCTGCCTCTGGCCGAGGCCGGGCCCGGCCCTGGGGCTTTCCAGGACAACCTGAGCCAGCTGAGCTCGCTGCTGGAGAAGGTGAAGGCCGAGGACCTGAACCTGGCGCCCCGCCGGAACCAAGGCCCGCGGCAGGCCGGGCCCCCGGTCACCTACATGCATATCTGTGAGAGCGAGCACTTCTCCATGGGGGTGTTCCTGCTGCAGGCTGGAGCCTGCATCCCACTACACGACCACCCGGGGATGCACGGCCTGCTCAAGGTGCTCTACGGCAGCGTGACCGTCGAGTGCTTCGACAAGGACGAGGGCAACCAGGCCGCGGCTGGCGTCCAGTTCAACCCGCCCCTGCTGCAGGGTCAGCGGTCCAACCTCCGCCGCTCGCTGCGGGCCTCTAGCGGCCTCCTGGATCAGGCGAGCGGGCCGTGTCTCCTCACCCCGCTGCTCGGCAACATGCACCGGATCGAGGCGCCGAACGGACCGGCCGCTTTCTTGGACATTCTGGCGCCGCCGTACGACCCCGAGGCTGGCCGGGACTGTCATTACTTCAAGGTGCTGCAGCCAGTACCGGGTAAAGCCAGCAGCCCGGCTCCCCCGGAGCAGGAGGCCGTGTGGTTGCTGGAGGTGCCGCAACCTGCCGACTTCTGGTGCGGAGGAGAGCCTTATCCCGGCCCCCAGGTGGCCCCTGACCGAGAAACGAGCCCGAATAAATAGTAATGTACCCATTTACAGTGAAGAACCCTTCACAAACTCTTCAGCTAACCTCTCTCCCCCACCCGCATGGTTAAAGCTCTTTTTCTTGTTGCAGAGTCGACCCACCTTTTTAATTATTTTGTTCATAGCCGCACCAAAAATCAATATCCCCAAACTGTACTGGAGAAGAACGAAAACAAAACTTTGCGCCTGGACCATTTGAGTTAAAAGTGGAAAAGGTGTGTGATCATTCACATCCTGTTGATTCTGGGCAGTAACACAAAGTTTCAACGCAAAATGCTGGAGAAACTCAGCCCATGTGGCAACGTCTGAGGAGAGAAGGAATTTACATTGAGTATAATATGCCTTTGGGATATGAGATGTATAACGGATCTGTCCAGCCTTATTTTCAGATTGTCAGTCTGGCACTTAATTGGTAAACATTATAGCGATTTTATTGACACTGCAACCAATCACTCATGTTGTGTTTAGCTGGAATGCAAACTTTATAAATCCTAGTTACCTCTTCTGCCTTTCAGAAGTAGTGGTTAATGTGTTCAGTTGTTTTCTCAAGTACATAAGTTTCTGAGGACATGACTTTATTTCTTTTCCCAGTGAGAACAAAACACTATTGGTAGAAAATACTATTAATTCATGATTTGTATTCATGTGTGACCAACTGTATTTTCATATCGAATTCTGTGTTAACTGTTTCCCAAAGCAGTCGCCAACCTGAACTTAACAGCCACCAGAAGGTACAGGTGGGCAAACATCTTAAACACTTTTCACTTCCTTTGAAACCAGTTGCCTCCAGAAATTACCTACCCCACCCAAGCACTGTTGTGTTTTTCTTTTTTTTTTGATTAAATGTGCTATATGCCAGTTTTGGCACAAGTCTTTTAAGAAAGGAGTCATCAGGAGTTCAATGCCCATAATGTTTACCAGCACCTGGGCCTGTTTGACTTGTATATTTACTGTGATGCTGTGTCGGATGCATTATCAGAGAATCATTTTGCACTTTGGATTCCAAAATGCTGACCTTAACAATGTTAGTCAACAATCTAGTCAATAAAATGTTAGTCTGGGCAACATCCAGACATATGAAATGTTGAAGAGGTTTTGGAAGGGAGGAGGCAGTAGGAGCAAAGATATTCTTACTGACATGTTCATGAAACTACTGTGAAATTAAAAGCATTTATGGTAAGGAGGGCTGTAGGAGCTGCTTCTGTTTAGCTCTGTATAGTACTTCCTTGTTAACACTGATATGGTGGCTTGATTTTCAAAAGCAACATGACAACGGGTTGGAAACAATCATTTTGGTTTAGTTAATATGGTAATAACTAACTGCACTATAAAGCCCTCATTTATAGTTAGTTATCAAGATCATTCTATACATTTAAACTGTTCTTTCTAAAAAAAAAACTGGGAGTAGGTTTTTCTTGTAAATCTGCAATGCGAACTTATTGTAAAATCTACTTGGAATGACTGTCTTTATATTGGGAAAGAAGACTAAATGTAGTCATAAAAGGGAAACATAACCAAAGGCTGACTTTATAATCATCAGTACCCTAAGAAGTAAAGGGCTAAGATTTTCAGATTCATGTTAGCCATAATTTTCAAACACAGAACTTCAAATAAGATATCCACTGAAGTGCATTTAATTTACCCAGCTGCACCATGTCCAATGTTCCCTTCCAGCAGTGGAGGTCTGAAAGTTAGTCAGTTGTGACTGTGCAGCCTTGTGCTACATTGCAGCTCTACTATGATTGTGTGCCCCCTCCCCTGTAAAATTATATTCCCTTTTTGGTTTGTTGAGTTCTGCACTATTAGAAGTACAGGGGTTTTTTTTTTTTTTTTTTTGAAATAATACCTTATCCTTGACACAGTGGATGTGATTTTTTTTTTGCAAGATCTGTGGAAAGGTGAAAATTAGACCTATTGAAATAAGTTATGAAATTGTCCTGCCTAAGTGGTTGAGTTTTTTTTGTGTGATCATAGTGTTGAGTAAAAGTTGACCATGTAGTTTTGCATGCTGTGGTTCCACAATCCTCGTAATGCAGTTTATTAAGTACTCCATCTGAAAATACAGTGCAGAACAAAATGTTTAGCCATTTCTTTTATTCAGTATTGTATGAATAAAATGGAGTATGAGAAATATGATTTTTGGCTCACTTGGCTGACAGAATTATGCTCTTTGCATTGGTGGATTAAAAATCATATTTGATGCTTTTTTTAATGTATTATCTTACAGTTGTACCATTTCACCGTATATGACAAAGGATATTCAGTTTATTAGAAAATATTCTTGAGCAATAAAATGTATAGAATATGATTTTACTGATGCTGTATTCTTCAAAATGTTAATACTGGAAGTTTAAACACATTGAGCATTGTCCTAAATGTAATGTGGTCACACATTTCAAAATTCCTTACAAATTCAAAAAATTCATTCTCATATTTGAGTAATGCATGAGCAATCTTGAAGTTGCCAGGTAGTAACTGAAGTGCTGTTGGCACAAAGCCGTCTTTACACCTGAGGTTTGGATCCAAACCACTGCAGCTGAGCGCACAAACCAGAAGTAGTGATGATTTAGCCACCAGTAAAGCTATGCATGGGATAACTAAATGTAAAGTTAATTTTTAGGAAAAATATACTGTACAAAAACTGAGTGGTTCACATTAATGGCTGGTGGCTACTCCATTAGGCTTTCCAGTGATAAACAGGAGTTCAGGATTTTGGAGGGAAAAAGAACATAGCTGCTTCAGTAAATTTTTCTTATCCATAAACATTTGGGTGAAGCCTAGCCAGCAACAACTTTACTCTGCACTGCAGCCATATCTGCACAGTTGAAGACTTTTTAAAAGTATCAGTGTAGTAGTCAAACCAAACACCCGAGCAGCAGTTTGGAATAAAGGTATAATTTGGTATTTAAAAATCTGGAATGTTTCTGGGTGCTGCCAAGTTGTAATAACAGGTAAAACAATTTTCTTTGAGGTTTGTTGTGGTAAACTTTCAACTGGATACATATTCAAGAGGCAGTATCATAATTCTGGCCTGTGTATGTCAACTTGGCTCTTTTTTTAGTTGAATGCAAAGTTCATGAGATTAAGCATATTTTCCGGAGAGTACTACACTGCCAGAGATCCCTTATTTCAGATTGAGACTTTAAACCAAGGTTCTCTATCTGTCCTTGGGTGGATGTAAAAGATACATGGTACTAATTGAAGAACAGGACAATGTTGTTATTCTGGATACTGTCTATCCCTCAACCTCTAAACTAACGGGTATTCTTTGTTTCAAGGGTCTTTCTGTGTAGAAGTTGCTGTTTTAAAATGCCTCCATATCTTTGTGTGCAATTGAGAAGTCACTCATTAACAATGAAGCACTGAATTATTTTGACATTAAAAGGTACCCAGGTACCTTCCAGGTGCCAGTTCGCTTTTTTTTAATGGAACCAGTATGGAAAATACAGCCTAACAGGTTATGTTGCATGTATGCTAGGCAGAGGATTTAGATCCTGATCAATAACAGTCATTCAGGTTTCCCTGCTGCATCTGACTGTCTGCCTGGGATTCTATTTCTACCTGACCTGCCTAGCTCATTTGATCTTTAATGTTTTTATCCGTTGTGCGCTTGATCAATTCCTCCCTTAGCAGAATTTCAAACTTGATTACTTCCTTATTTGTGTTATCCATAAAATAGGGTGAGTTCTTGTATGCGGGCTGAGGCATCAACACCACTATCTATGAACCAATGTTAAATCATTAGTATAGCAGCTGGAGAGATTCTAGCATGTGCCAAAAATACTGCACACCCTGTTGTTTCTCTCTCTCTGAGCAGAATGAACCCAGTAATGCACACCACGTGAGATCTTGCTCTTCTACAGTCAAATCAACAATTTCTATTTACAACTTTATTTGTCCTATCCTCATTGTTTGTTTGCTTTTAAATCATTCAACCAGATCTCCAGGCTTAGATTGTGCAGCTTGTATGTGAGCATTCAGCATGCCACATCACATTTTGACAATACGCATTTCCTGAATTAAATCTTGTGCGAAGTCATTCTGACTGCTCAAGACCTTGGCAGCCCTAATTTTCTCATTACCCTAGTGTACTGTGATTTATTAATTTTTGGCATCTATATAGATCTCTATACTTTAAACCCTTCGTTTCCTGTGCAAGCTGAACAGCTCAATGATTATTTGTATCATCTGATTGCCTGTAGCATGATCAATCCCTTCACAGCACTGTCTGTTACAAAATCTCTAATCATCACAGCCTTGCATTTTGGAATTCTGTACCTAAGTCCTTCCATCTTCCTACCATATCCACATTGCCACATTGTGTCTCAGAAGTATTTTATTGACTTTTTAAAACACGTCAGGATGCGTTGAGTGGTGCTATGCAAGTGATTGCAAGTCTTTTGAACTCATTGAATGAAATTACGACTCTCAGGTGTTTCAAAGCCTTATGTTGAAGTGCATTGATTATAAAGTCAGTAATAAAATGAGTTGATTAAACATAACATGGTTCTGCCATCATTCACCTCGTCTCTGCTCTTTTTTTAATAGTTTTGGGTGTTATGTTGCCAGGTTACTGATGCACTAAAAAAGTGCAAGCTCTTCTTCTCCTATCCACACTCTTTCTCTCCCCTGGCCCCCCCCTTCATAATCGTGGACAGATATTTTACGGATTTGTAATGTTTCACATTGGGAATTGGTGTTGAATTTCAGTCAGTTGTGGGAAATGAATTTGCAGGAAATATTGGAAATAACTTGTCTTCTGAAAATGGCTTTTTCTCATTACTAACTCCCTCCTGGTCTGCAAAAGCCTCTAAGACATCTTTGATCACGTTTCTATCTTTTGTTTGACTTCCATTCTTTCCATCATTCTTGTAAAGTCTCTGGTAATGAACACTAAGGAAATGTGTGGTGTTTCCCAAAAAAACTTCAAACAGCATCAATTAGTGAAATATAAACTGTTGTTATAGTTTAATACTTTTAAAATGGTTTTACTCTTCAAGGGTGTAGCTTTTCAATAAAATCTAATTCTAATTAACAGTTTTTAAAAACACATGGTTTTAATGCATGCTGTATGTTTCAGTTGGAAAATGGTAACTAAAATCAATTGGCAAGTGATGGATTGAAAACAAGTGAGGTTCAGATGCACAGTTTAGAGTGGTTTTCATTTGCCTGTGTGGTAAGTTGGTGTCTTGATCTAACATAGATCAAACAATATCTGATTATTTATTTAAGGAATTGCCATCCATCAGTATTCTGGACCAACATCTTTGAGTGGTTAAGGAGGTAGTCTAATTTTACTGTAGTTCAAAACCTGTAAAATTCTGTAACCATATGCAGGAAAATCCATTCAGGATATCAATATTGTAAAATGTACAACAATTGCACTGCTTATATCTAAGTTTTATGTTAAATAAATGAAAATACAAACCAATACTAAATGTTTTTTAATTGAATATTGTACAATGTTAAATATAGTCACTCACTTATATATGTTTGTTCATGGGATATGGGCATTACTGTGTGGGCCAACATTTATTGCCCAAATCTAATTGGATTGAGGGCTGTGGAAAGTCAACCACATTGCTGTGGGACTAGAGTCGCAATTTGGCCAGATGAGGTCAGAATGACCTATTTCCTTCCCTAAAAGGCATTAGTAAACAAAGTTTCTTTTTCCATCAGCAGTTAGACTCATAATCAGGGGAGTCAATTTTTATTGACTGTAATCTGACATAGTGGGATTCGAACCATAACCTATTGTCATTGACACTGTCTTCAATGAAACGACCATTTCTTCCAGACTTGGGCTAATCAAGTCAACCTTGTCCGTAAATGAAACAACTAACACTAAAAATTGTGTTCTTAAAATATGAAGAACCTTCTTTACGGCAAGGAACTTTATTGTGAATGGATAATAAGGGAAATGGATATGCAAATAATGAGTGGTTTAGTTCTATGTTGATACAAATTCTTGCGACAATGAATGCGTTTATATCTAGGTGTAATAATAATTCATTCCTTTCCCTTCGAGGGGTGATGACTCCAAGCAGCCAAAGGAGTTGATTCTGGACTGCAATAGTTTAAGAATTAGTTTGCTCAGGTTTGACATAAGAATGACGGTCACTAAAAAGTTGGTTAATAAGATTGCTGTTGGTATTTTCAGATGCAAGATAACTGAATAGTGTTGTAGGTAGTCTTGATTAATCACAACATTAAGCAAAGCCGCATTATTCGAAATAAGTTTCTGTGGGAATACTATGTAAATAGGTTATGTTCCTGGAACATTAAATGAGTACTGAATGCAAGCACAACGTTAACATGAAAAACCAAAATAGACATAGAAAATGCAAAAAGAATATATTTTTGTTTCTTATCACATTACAAGGATATTGTATGCTGCTTTTTAATGAATTTATCCAGCCTTAATTGAGGTGGGAAATGGTCAAAATGAGTCCAATTTGCCCAGAAATACTCAGTTTAGGCACTGCTGGGATATAGTTAAGAACCATGTTATGACAGATCAGATGCGTGTTGTTGGTATCCCTAACAGTAAGGCCAATACAGTGGAATGGCAAAACCTTAGTCATAATCAAACAGCACGGAAACAGATTCTTTGGCCCAACCAATCCATGCTGACCACAATCCCAAACTAAACTAGTCCCACCTGCGTGCTCCTAGCTCAAATTGTTCCAAAACTTTCCTATTTCATATGTCCATCCAAACGTCTTTTAAATGTAATTGTACCTGCATGCACCACTTCCTCAGGAAGTTCATTCCACAAGTGGACCACCCTCTGTGTTTAAAAAAAAATTGCCTTTTATGTCTTTAAATCTCTCCTCTCCCTTTTAAAACAGTGCACCCTTATCTTGAAATTCATCTTAGGCAAAAGACAACTACCATCTATCTATATCTCATTATTTTATAAAATTCTCTTAGGTCACCTCTCAGACTAACCAGATTTCCTTATAACTCAAACCTTCCATACCTGGCAACATCCTGGTAAATCTCTTCTGAACCCTCTCCAGCTTGATGATATCCTTCCTATACCTGGGTGACCAGAGCTGGACACAGTATTTCAGAAGAGGCCTCACCAGTGTCCTGTACAACCTCAAGATAACATGCCAACTCCTATACTCAAAGGACTGAACAATGAAGGCAAGCTTGCCAAATGCCTTTTTAACCATCCTGTCTATTTGTGATGCAAACTTTATGTACCTGCGCCCCTGGGTCCCTCTATTCTACAACACTACCCAAGGCTCTACCATTAACTGTATAAGCCCCACCCTTGTTTGTTTTACCAAAATGCAATAC